TATATATATATATCAGTATCTCCCAGAAGTGAGTCCCCCCCTCACATTTGTGTAAATATTTGATTCTATCTTCTCATGTGACAACACTGAAGAAATGACACTTTGTACAATGTGACGTAGTCAGTGTACAGCTTGTATAACATGGAAATTTGCTGTCCCCTCAAAATAACTCAAACACACCGCCATTAATGTCTTAACCGCCGGCAACAAAAGTGAGTCCACCCCTAAGTGACAAGGTCCAAATTGGGCCCAAAGTGTCAATATTTTGTGTGGGCCGCCATTATTTTCCAGCACTGCCTTAACCCTCTTGGGCATGGAGGTCACCAGAGCTTCACAGGTTGCCACTGGAGTCCTCTTCCACTCCTCCATGACATCATCACGGTGCTGGTGGATGTTAGAGACCTTGCCCCACAGATGCTCAATAGGGTTTAGGTCTGGAGACATGCTTGGATAAACGGAGATGGCCTAGGCAAAAATGTGAGGAGTGGACTCACTTCCGTGAGATAATGTATATTAGCCACGGCACCAGGGACAGCTATGTACATCCACAGGACTACCAGATAAGACTCAGGGTATTAGACGTGGCATGAGAGAAGGCTCAGGATATTAGACGTGTGGCATGACAGAAGGCTCAGGATATTAGACGTGGCATGAGAGAAGGCTCAGGATATGACGTATGAGATAAGGCTCAGGATATTAGACGTGGCATAAGAGAAGGTTCAGGATATTAGACGTGGCATGAGATAAGGCTCAGGATATTAGACGTGGCATGAGAGAAGGCTCAGGATATTAGACGTGGCATGAGATAAGGCTCAGGATATTAGACGTGGCATAAGAGAAGGTTCAGGATATTAGACGTGGCATGAGATAAGGCTCAGGATATTAGACGTGGCATGAGAAGAAGGCTCAGGATATTAGACGTGGCATGAGAGAAGGTGCAGGATATTAGACCTGGCATGAGAGAAGGCTCAATATATTAGACCTGGCATGAGAGAAGGCTCATATATATTAGACGTGGCATGAGAGAAGGCTCAGGATATTAGATGTGGCATGAGAGAAGGCTCGGGATATTAGACGTGGCATGAGAGAAGGCTCAGGATACTAGACGTGGCATGAGAGAAGGCTCAGGATATTAGATGTGGCATGAGAGAAGGCTCAGGTTATTAGACGTGGCATGAAAGAAGGCTCAAGGTATTAGACGTGGCATGAGAGAAGGCTCAGGATATTAGACCTGGGATGAGAGAAGGCCCAGGATATTAGACGTGGCATGAGAGAAGGCTCAGGAAATTTGACGTGGCATGAGAGAAGGATCAGGAAATGTGATGTGGCATGAGATAAGGCTCAGGATATTAGACATGGCATGAGAGAAGGCTCAGGATATTAGACGTGTCATAAGAGAAGGTTCAGGATATTAGACGTGTCATAAGAGAAGGTTCAGGATATTAGACGTGGCATGAGAGAAGGCTCAGGATATTAGACGTGGCATGAGAGAAGGCTCAGGATATTAGACGTGCCATGAGAGAAGGCTCAGGATATTAGACGTGGCATGAGAGAAGGCTCAGGAAATTTGACATGGCATGAGAGAAGGCTCAGGATATTAGACGTGGCATAAGAGAAGGCTCAGGATATTAGACGTGGCATGAGAGAAGGCTCAGGATATTACATTCCCATATTTTATGACTTTAGGACACAACTGTAAATAATAACAAGACCTCAGGCATCAGCAGCCATTGTCCACATACATTGGCCACCTCATGTGCTGTCCCCCTTCCCTCCAGATTTGGACCACGGTGTAAGCTGCTGTAGATATCTTACCTTCAGATGCCGCAAAGCCTGGAGACCCAGAGAGGCGATCCGCTCGTTGTCATCTGGGGGCAGAAATATGCAATTAGTTTTTATTCCAGAACTTACAATTTAATTGAACCAATGCTCAGTACCACCTTGCCCACCCCCTCATTTATGGAAGCCACCACCATGAATGGATTCGTGATATTTCATCTGGAATCTCAAAGACAAAGAACTGGGTATGTGTAAGGAAATATTATAGGGGTGGAAGACACTGATCAGAAGAACGTCCTTTTCTTCAGGACTACATCTTATATTTTACAATTCAATTTATTCTGCTTTCGATACATTGTTTCTGGGGGTGATCACTCACAAGGTATTTGTTTAACCTTCGAAAATATGGTGTCACCAATCACAGTGAGCTAACTGTACTTGGGACTATACAGTGGATCTAGTCAACACATCCCCTTTTTATAACAGACAGGTATTCGTACTCTCCATCTTCCCTGCTTATGAAACCACACAAGATACAAAAAAACATGCTGCCACCCGATCGCATTGCTTTTTTTTAAGGAATTGACTTTTTTAGAAGATTTCTACCCAAAAGTAGCATTGAGGACTTTGTTTTCTAACACACTGCAATACAATCCGTTGGTGGAAACAGACTTTATAAAAAGCAACACCCATGGATCTCATGGAAAAGGGGCCATAAATGTTCCTATTTCAAATAAATGGATAGTCCAGATCAGCCTTTCTCAACAAGGGTTCCTTAGGACCCAAAGGTTCCTTCAAGGGGTCTCTAGGGGATCCTGGCTCGATGAGCAATTTCTGCCTCTCAGATAAGTTACAAATGTCACTAATAGCCTTTAACTATACTGTCACAGACCGGCAACATGACAACCAATCTTTACATGGACCACCAGTGTGAGGATCATTCTTCCCAATGACCATCAGTGTAAGAATCATTCTTCACATGGACCACCAGTGTGAGGATCATTCTTCCCAATGACCACCAGTATGGGGATCATTCTTCCCAATGACCAACAATGTAAGGAACATTCTTTCCAATGACCACCAATGTCAGAAACATTCTTGCTAATGACCACAAGTATAAGGAACATTCTTTCCAATGACTACCAGTACAAGGAGCATTCCTTCCAATGAATACCAGTTTAATAAGAATTCTTCACATAGAACACCATTGTGAGGATCATTCTTCCCAATAACCACCAGTGTGAGGATCATTCCTCATATGGACCACCAATGTAAGGAACATTCTTTCCAATGAATACCAGTATAAGGAACATTTCTTCCAATGAATACCAGTATAAGGAACATTCCTTCCAATGACCACCAGTATAAGGAACATTCTTCCAATGAATACCAGTTTATAAGAAATTCTTCCCACATGAACACCAGTGTTTAAGAATCATTCTTCACATAGAACACCAGTGTGAGGATCATTCTTCACATAGAACACCAGTGTGAGGATCATTCTTCACATAGAACACCAGTGTGAGGATCATTCTTCACATAGAACACCAGTGTGAGGATCATTCTTCACATAGAACACCAGTGTGAGGATCATTCTTCACATAGAACACCAGTGTGAGGATCATTCTTCACATAGAACACCAGTGTGAGGATCATTCCTCATCTTCACATAGAACACCAGTGTGGGGATCATTCTTCACATAGAACACCAGTGTGGGGATCATTCTTCACATAGAACACCAGTGTGAGGATCATTCTTCACATAGAACACCAGTGTCCTAGGTGAGGCATCATTCTTCACATAGAACACCAGTGTGAGGATCATTCTTCACATAGAACACCAGTGAGGGATCATTCTTCACATAGAACACCAGTGAGGTGAGGATCATTCTTCACATAGACACACCAGTGTGAGGATCATTCTTCACATAGAACCACAGTGTGAGGATCATTCCTTCACATAGAACACCAGACATGAGGGAGGATCATTCTTCACATAGAACACACCAATGTAAGGAACATTCCTCATAACTACTACCAGTATAAGGAACATTAGTTCCAAAGATCATCAGTGTAAGAACCATTCTTACATGGACCACCAGCATAAGGAACATTCAACTGACTACCAGTGTCCTAGGGAGGCACCTCTCTACTGACCACAGACATGAGGGTGGGCACCTCTCTACTGACCACAGACATGAGGGAGGCACCTCTCTACTGACCACAGACATGAGGGAGGCACCTCTCTACTGACCACAGACATGAGGGAGGTACCTCTCTACTGACCACAGACATGAGGGAGGTACCTCTCTACTGACCACAGACATGAGGGAGGTTCCTCTCTACTGACCACAGACATGAGGGAGGCACCTCTCTACTGTCCACAGACATGAGGGAGGTACCTCTCTACTGACCACAGACATGAGGGAGGCACCTCTCTACTGACCACAGACATGAGGGAGGCACCTCTCTACCGACCACAGACATGAGGGAGGCACCTCTCTACCGACCACAGACATGAGGGAGGCACCTCTCTACCGACCACAGACATGAGGGAGGTACCTCTCTACCGACCACAGACATGAGGGAGGCACCTCTCTACCGACCACACACATGAGGGAGGCACCTCTCTACCGACCACACACATGAGGGAGGCACCCTCTCTACCGACCACACACATGAGGGAGGCACCTCTCTACCGACCACAGACATGAGGGAGGCACCTCTCTACCGACCACAGACTTGAGAGAGGCACCTCTCTACCGACCACAGACACGAGGGAGGCACCTCTCTATTGACCACAGACCTGAGGGAGGCACCTCTCTACTGACCACAGACCTGAGGGAGGCACCTCTCTACCGACCACAGACACGAGGGAGGCACCTCTCTACTGACCACAGACATGAGGGAGGCACCTCTCTATTGACCACAGACCTGAGGGAGGCACCTCTCTACTGACCACAGACCTGAGGGAGGCACCTCTCTACTGACCACAGACGTGAGAGAGTACTGTTGCTTTCCTTTCCTGGCCATTATTATAATTATGTATCCTGAGCTGTAGATAGAAAATTATGTACAGGGGATCCCCGAGGACTGAACTTTTTTTTGAGGGTTCCTCTGTGTTGAGAAAGGCTGCTCCCGATTTTCCCAAACACCGTTTCAGTCAGAATATTGCACTTTTTAAATGTGTATCAATGACAGGTGCCCTTTAATCTCTGACACTAACCTATGACGACCGCGCTGCACTCCACAGCAATGCTGCCCAGTGTGACCGGCATGCGGTCTATCTGTCCGAGGATTTTCATGTTATACGGCAGGTTGATGCTGTCCTCCTCATTCTTGAAGAACCTGAAATGTTCCTTCAGTCTACAGAAAGAGGAAGAAGAAGATTATATAACATTCTGCAGACAAAACTATCGCTCCCACAGTTCCTGCACCACCCTCTCAGCTTCACCAACGCCAGAAGGAACGTTGTAACAGAATCATGTGACAGGAGACCACAACTCCATACCCAGAAGGATATTAGGAATGATTGTGAATAGTTACATAGAATTCAGACCTGATGTGAGTGGAATTTCTGATGTAAAGCAAGAAAATGTTTATAAACAATGTTACTTTGTATCTCTCCATCTCCCGTCTGATCGATGTTTATAAACAATGTTACTTTGTATCTCTCTATCTCCCGTCTGATCGATGTTTATAAACAATGTTACTTTGTATCTCTCCATCTCTCATCTGATCATGTTTATAAACAATGTTACTTTGTATCTCTCCATCTTCTCCGTCTGATCGATGTTTATAAACAATGTTACTTTGTATCTCTCTATCTCCCGTCTGATCGATGTTTATAAACAATGTTACTTTGTATCTCTATCTCCCGTCTGATCCATGTTTATAAACAATGTTACTTTGTATCTCTATCTCCCGTCTGATCCATGTTTATAAACAATGTTACTTTGTATCTCTATCTCCCTTCTGATCGATGTTTATAAACAATGTTACTTTGTATCTCTATCTCCCGTCTGATCGATGTTTATAAACAATGTTACTTTGTATCTCTCCATCTCCCGTCTGATCGATGTTTATAAACAATGTTACTTTGTATCTCTCTATCTCCCGTCTGATCGATGTTTATAAACAATGTTACTTTGTATCTCTCTATCTCCCGTCTGATCCATGTTTATAAACAATGTTACTTTGTTATCTCTCTATCTCCCGTCTGATCGATGTTTATAAACAATGTTACTTTGTATCTCTCCATCTCTCATCTGATCATGTTTATAAACAATGTTACTTTGTATCTCTCTGTCTCTATGGAACAGCAAGCATACCAGGAAAAATTACTTTTAGATCGGTCAACTTCATAATAAAAATGAAGATTGATCCCTAAAATGTAGGCCCGCCGTAGTCCCGCTGGAAGCTGCTGCCAGTGTGCCTGTGACAGCGAGGGATGGGCACAATAATCCGCCCGGAAAGGATAAAAAGACACAGATATAATCATCGTGTCACCAGCCGCCGCTGAGCCCCTGTAATCTGGATTCTTTGTATTGTTGGGGAAACGTTCTGCCCTGGCATATTAATGAGTCTGCCAATTGTGCGCTGACCTCATTCTGCCAGGCGTGCGGCGCGGCTCAGCATAATTACCGTATTGCTGCGTGCACCAGATATTCTGGGGAGACCGGCTGCCTGCCCGTCCCGACCCTTCATCATAACATGTGACTGTCCGCATCCCTCCCGCCATTCCGGAACATTCACGAAGAAGACGATGTGGAAACAATGTAGCATGTGTGGCCAATACATTCACTGCCACCCCGCCTGCCTTTTACACTACTTTTTATCTTTCTGCCATAATGTAACGTCTCGAAAATACACCTCAGACTGGCTCCCCGCTAAACCCAATATTAACCACTTGACCTCCGGAGGGTTTTACCCCTCCATGGCCAGGACAGCCCATATGGAAGAAAAATATATTTGAAATACATTTTAAAAATAGTCTTCCCAAATATATTGACATATATTTGAAATACTACAATTTTGGCCGTATTCAATATATTTCAAAATATATTTCAATAAAATATATATATATATACACACTGTATGTTGAAATGTGTTTTTTTATATATTCCAAAATATCTGAAAAATATTTTTAAAAAATATATTTTTTTCAAATATATTCTTCAGACTTTTTTGAACATATAAAAAAGTAATTATAACATATATTTTTACATATATTTCAATATAAATGCATTAAAAAAAATGTAGATTTGTATTTTTAAAGACATACAGTATATTTGAAAATGTATTTTTAAAAATATTTTTCATATATTTTGTAATAAAAACAGAAAAACACATTTCAACATACAGTATATATATATATATATATATATATATATATATATATATACTGTATTTTAAAATATGTATTTTATATATTACAAAATATATAAAAATAATTTTTCAAAAGATTTTTTTTTAAATATACTCTTCAGGTTTTTTTTTAACATATAAAAAAAGTAATTATACTTTATAGTTTTACATATATTTGTACATGCGTTTCAAAAATGTAGATTTGTATTTTAAAGACACAATATTTTTGTATATATTTTTGTAATAAAAACACATTTCAACATACATATTATATATATATATATATATATATATATATATATATATATATATATATATATATATACACACTGTATGTTGAAATGCATTTTTTAGATATTACAAAATATATGAAAATAATTTTTTTAAATATATTTTTTTTAAAATATATTCTTCAGATTTTTTTTAACATACAAAAAAAGAAATTCTAACATATATTTTTACATATATTTGTAAATGCATTCCAAAAATGTAGATTTGTATTTTTAAAGACATATAGTATATTTTAAAATGTATTTTAAAAAATATTTTTCATAACACATTTCAACATTTCAGCTAGAATCATGTTTGCATATCAGGAGCGAAACGCGTTGCCCTTTAGCAGATGCACAGCAGTGCCATTATTTATGTGTATGCCATACTGCATGGTGCTGCAGTATTTCTAGCAAAGGGTCAAATGTATTTTTTCTTCCATGTGGTATTTTTTGGTATTTAGCAGTGCGCTACTTTAACTGGCAATTGCTCGGTCGTGCAACACTGTACCCAAATTAAATTTATATCACAGAAATAGAGCTTTGGGTTTTTCTATTTTCAGTCACAGAAGAACCGTGATGAAGTTCAGGAGATGCCTGGGGGCACCATCCCTCCTACACGTGCCCCCCCCCCCCACACACACACAATGGCGGTTTTCCACACTGGGGTCTGCGCTGCACGATGTGGTTTCTCTGCGGCCATGTTTTCTGGAAAGGCGCAGGAACCTTTTCTTGGGGTTTTCGGTGGGTACGGCAGCCTATTTGAATGAATAAAGGACTGCTATGCCCGAGCACACCTGGCTGCAGGAAGACAGCATCGATGTGAAGCAGAGCTCAGACCAGGAGCTGGGCATTGCCCATACTCACCCCAATCTGTCCAGGCAGGCTGAGGATATGACGCTGTGCTGACTCAAGGTGTCAATCTTGACTTTCATCTCCTTCCCTTCGCACTGCAAGGTACAAATGACAACATTGAGGTGGAGGCGGTACATCTACGTGCTTCTCGTTTTTATCATTTATAAAATTCAAGCCCCCCCCCCTTACCTGCCCCATCCTCCTCCCCTCCCCCGGTGAACTGAATTTGCAACTGCCATTGTCTCTCCTCTCCTGCTGGACTTCATAACACCCTCAATCAGGGGCGGACTGACCATTTGGAAAGGGCCCAGGGTCAGTAGGGGGCCCCATGAGATGCCCCTGGTACCTTTTTCATAGGCTTTTTTGAGTTTGGGCAAGGACACAGGGGCCCCATGATCCCCTATTGCCCTGGGGCCCCAGGAGTTAGTCCGCCCTGCCCTCAATGCAGAGTGGAGGGGTTCTATAGTTCAGCAGGAGGACCCAGCCCAGGTTGAGCAGCGGAGGCTGACTAGATTTCTAGGTTTTTAAAGGAGACCAAACCTGGGAAATCTTCACGTTTTGCAGAGTTATGTGAAAGCCAACGTGTGTGATCTGCTTAGAATTTACCTTCCCTGCCCCAGTTTGCATACAGAACATGCTGGGGTTCCTAGGCGGCTGTATTTGCATAGGTAACGCCCACATGTGATGCTGAGCCTCCATGACTGGAAAAACTGAAATCCAATGAATGAAAGGGGCGGGCTGGGGCAGTCAGGCTGGGGAGGAAAGTGCAAAATGATGCTGGACGTCCTCAGGGTTAGCAAGTCTATCTGACTGGCTGAAGCTTCTAATGCACATTGTGAGGAGCTCCCAGTGTGCAGTGACATCACACCTGTGCAAGAATGAAGGGGAGGAGCCGTTACACCTGTGCAAGACTAAAGGGGAGGAGCTGGTACACACCTGAAGGGGAGGAGCCGATACAAGCAAGACTGAAAGGGAGGAGCCAGTACACCTGTACAAGACTGCCGGGGAGGAGCCGGTACATCTGTGCAAGACTGAAGGGGAGGAGCCGGTACATCTGTGCAAGACTAAAGGGGAGGAGCCGGTACACCTGTGCAAGAATGATAAGGGAGGAGCCGATACACCTGTGCAAGACTGAAGGGGAGGAGCCAGTACACCTGTACAAGACTGAAGGGGAGGAGCCGGTACACCTGTGCAAGAATGAAGGGGAGGAGCCGGTACACCTGTGCAAGACTAAAGGGGAGGAGCCGGTACACCTGTGCAAGAATATAGGGGAGGAGCCGATACACCTGTGCAAGACTGAAGGGGAGGAGCAGGTACACCTGTACAAGACTAAGGGGGAGGAGCCGGTACATCTGTGCAAGACTGAAGGGGAGGAGCCTTATAACAGTGCAAGACTGAAGGGGAGGAGCTGGCACAACTATGCAAGACTGAAGGGGAGGAGCCGGTACACCTGTGCAAGACTAAAGGGGAGGAGCCGGCACACCTGTGCAAGAATATAGGGGAGGAGCCGATACACCTGTGCAAGACTGAAGGCGAGGAGCAGGTACACCTGTGCAAGACTGAAGGGGAGGAGCCGATACGCCTGTGCAAGACTGAAGGGGAGGAGCCTTATAACAGTGCAAGACTGAAGGGGAGGAGCTGGCACAACTATACAAGACTGAAGGGGAGGAGCCGGTACACCTGTGCAAGACTGAAGGGGAGGAGCCGGTACACCGGTGCAACACTGAAGGGGAGGAGCCGGTACACCTGTGCAACACTGAAGGGGAGGAGTCGGTACACCTGTGCAAGACTGAAGGGGAGGAGTCGGTACACCTGTGCAAGACTGAAGGGGAGGAGTCGGTACACCTGTGCAAGACTGAAGAGGAGGGCCGATACACCTGTGCAAGACTGAAGAGGAGGAGCCGGTACACCTGTGCAAGACTGAGGGGGAGGAGCTGGTACACCTGTGAAAGACTGAAGGGGAGGAGCCGATACAACTGTTCAAGACTGAAGGGGAGGAGCCGGTACAACTGTTGAAAAACTGAAGGGGAGGAGCCGGACACCTGTGCAAGACTGAAGGGGAGGAGCCAGAACACACCTGTACAAGACTGAAGGGGAGGAGCCATTACACCTGTGAAAGACTGAAGGGGAGGAGCCGATACAACTGTTCAAGACTGAAGGGGAGGCCAGTGGTTATGTATTCTTCACACTAGAATTGTAAGATTGTTGAATGGGTGGGCAGGAGGGGCAGCTGCCCTGGGCACAAATGAGCAAGGGGGCAAAGAATAGGCTCATGATGGTACACCTATACTATGGCATGTAATAACAGTGGGGGAGGGGGCACAATTCTGGATCCTTGCCCTGGGTGTTGGATGTCCCTGTGCTGCTGCCTCTATGTGCTGTATATGGTGTAATTACAAGAGTCATACCTGACCCAAGACATAGAGGGCGTCATCCTCCTCGCTCCTCCGGGGTGTGGCTCCCTTCCCATGGCTCTGTTTGTTGCTCTGAGCTGAGTGGTCACTTTTTGGTGTCCATGTCGTTCGGTTGTTCCTCAGCTTTGATAAGTTGCTCTCCAGCAGACGTCGTTGGAGGATGTTATGAGGTTGCTAAAAAAAAAAAAAAGCAAGAAGAATGGGTTTAATTGAACTCCAAAAAGGACAAATATCTTCCCGTTCCTTTTTCTTCTCATATATCCCATTTCTTGTCAAATTATGGGGTGTAATTATACAAAAAAATTTGAATAACTTTGCATTGCTATTCAGCCAGAGAAACTGTTGGTACATTCATTCTGTGCAAATGGAGCAAAATCGAATGTTCACCTTCTATTTCCCCTACAAGTCGAATTCTACGCATTCAAAATAATAGAGTGGTTGGGGGAAATACTGCACAATGGCCACTGGATGGCGCTCAGGATCATAGGAAATAACTATGATCCTTAACGCCATCTAGTGGCCTAATGTGGTATTTTCCAGAACCACTCTCTTTTTATGAATGAACAACATTCAATTTGTAGAAGTATCCAGTCTATAAACCAGAGGCTCTGATTGGACGGTTGGATTAGTGGTTCTATATTTAGGATGTATCCGGTCTATAAACCAGAGGCTCTGATTGGACGGTTGGATAAACGGTTCTATATTTAGGACGTATCCGGTCTATAAACCAGAGGCTCTGATTGGACGGTTGGATAAACGGTTCTATGTTTAGGATGTATCCGGTCTATAAACCAGAGGCTCTGATTGGACGGTTGGATAAACGGTTCTATGTTTAGGACGTATCCGGTCTATAAACCAGAGGCTCTGATTGGACGGTTGGATAAATGGCTCGATATTTAGGATGTATGGAATCGGTATCTGATCAATCAAAGATGTTACAATGTATCAGTGGAGATGTTTCTGTTTAATTATTTCGGGATTTCCCTTCTCTCGGTCGGAAGGTCTTTATGGCACGCAGCGGACGATCGTCTCCTTCACCACCTCCATGTCATTCGATCTAGATGTGAAGGAAAATCACTGACGGTAATTACCTCGAACATTCGCGGCGTCGGCGACCCGCAGATTACAGCGAAGAATTTTCTTTTTTTTTTTCTTTGGAGATCTGCCAGTTTGAATCAGCAGTTCCCAGCCCCCGAGAGGGATGACAGATTTCCGTGGAGCATGAAAGTGACTGAGTGTCATATCTGATTAACCTGCAGAAATGTGCGCCAACGTCTGCAAACGCCCGCCGCCACCATGAAATATTCCTGGAAGAAAGGGCCTCATTTATATAAACCGATTATAAAAAAATGAGAGCAATTGTAAACCCCAACAATGATCTCCTTTTATTTGTTCCATTTCTGGTAAACTAAATGCATCTGCCCACAGAACAGGAAGAGAGGAGAAATCTTCCAATGGGGACACTAGTTCTGGTGACAACCGGGGATTCCCTCACTTTGGAGGGATTTCCTCTCACTTCCTGTTTTGGCTATGGGACAGGAAGTGAAGAAAAATCTACTCATTGGGAGAGACGGCAGTATCACCCTTCCTTAGGCCCAGTTCACATATATTGGATGCATTTTGAACCGCATCTGATTCGCATGACATGTGATCCTACAGCCTTTTCCATGGGGCTGGTTCACATATGTGTGGGCCGACCGCAGTGCATTTTTAAAAAGAGTCCACATGGTCCAGGTGATTTCCATTGCCATATGCTTTGACAATTCCCACCTGAATCGTACCTGAAAAAGTCTCACCAGAGGGGGCTGAAATCCCGCTGTCAAATCCAGACCGCATATACACTATATTGCCCAAAGTATTGTCCCCGCCCTCCCAATCATGTGATTCAGGTGTTCCAATCCCCTCCCAATCATCATGTGATTCAGGTGTTCCAATCACCTCCCAATCATGTGATTCAGGTGTTCCAATCCCCTCCCAATCATGTGATTCGGGTGTTCCAATCCCCTCCCAATCATGTGATTCAGGTGTTCCAATCCCCTCCATATCATGTGATTCAGGTGTTCCAATCCCCTCCATATCATGTGATACAGGTGTTCCAATCCCCTCCCAATCATGTTATTCAGGTGTTCCAATCCCCTCCATATCATGTGATTCAGGTGTTCCAATCCCCTCCATATCATGTGATTCAGGTGTTCCAATCCCCTCCATGGACACAGGTGTATACAATCAAGCCCCTAGACATGCAGACGGCTTCTACAAACATTGGTGAAAGAATGGGTCGCTCTCAGGAGCTCAGTGACTCCAAGTGTGGTCCCGTGATAGGTGGCCACCTGGGCAATAAGTCCATCCGGGACATTTCCTGGCTACTAAATATTCCACGCTCAACTGTTAGTGGGATTATAACAAAGTGGAAGCAACTGGGAACAACAGCCACTCAGCCACCAAGTGGTAGGCCACATCACATGATAGGGCGGGGTCAGCGCATGCTGAAGCGCACAGTGCGCAGAAGTCGCCAACTGTCTGCAGAGCCAATAGCTAAAGACCTCCAAACTTGGTGTGGCCTTCAGATGAGCCCAACAACAGTGCGTAGAGAGCTCCATGGAATGGGTTTCCATGGCCGAGCAGCTGCATCCAAGCCTTCCATCACCAAGTGCAATGCAAAGCGTCGGATGCCGTGGTGTAAAGCACGCCGCCACTGGACTCTAGAGCAGTGGAGGCGTGTTCTCTGGAGGGACCAATCACACTTCTCTGTCTGGCAATCTGATGGATGTGTCTGGGTTTGGCGGTTGACTGGAGAACGGTACTTACCTGACTGCACTGTGCCAAGTGAAATGTTTGTTGGAGGGGGATTATGGTGTGGAGTTGTTCCTCAGGGGTTGGGCTTGGCCCCCTAGTTCCAGTGAAGGGAACTCTTAAGGAGACATTTTAGACAATTTCATGTTCCCAACTTTGTGGGAGGAGTTTGGGGATGGCTCCTTCCTGTTCCAACATGACTGCCCACCAGCGCACAAAGCAAGGTCCATAAAGACATGGAGGAGCCAGTTTGGGGTGGAGGAACTTGACTGTCCTGCACAGAGTCCTGACCTCAACCCCATAGAACACCTTTGGGATGAATTAGAGCGGAGACTGTGAGCCAGGCCTCCTCCCCCGACATCAGTGCCTGACCTGACAAATGTGCTTCTGGAAGAATGGTCCAACCTTCCCATAGACACCCTCCTAAACCTTGTGGACGGCCTTCCCAGAAGAGTTGAAGCTGTTATAGCTGCAAAGGGCGGGGCCAACTAAATATTGAACCCTACGGACTAAGACTGGGGGGCCATTAAAGGTCATGTGTGTGGAAAGGGCGGGGCCAACTCAATATTGAACCCTACGGACTAAGACTGGGGGGGGCCATGAGAGGTCATGTGTGTGAAAGGGCGGGGCCAACTCAATATTGAACCCTACAGACCAAGACTGGGGGGACATTAAAGGTCATGTGCGTGGAAAGGGCGGGGCCAACTCAATATTGAACCCTACAGACTAAAGCCGGCCACACACGTGGGTCGAATTCCGAAATTATTTTTTTTCGAAAATCTTTTTTAAGAATTTTTGTTCGAATTTCGCACCATTAGTGGGTCACAGAAATGGCCGTGTGACCATCGAATTTGAGTGATCAGGCATGTTGGAAATGTGTTGAAAAACGAATGAATTTTGAATCAGTGATGGGAGAATCATGCCGGAAATATAAACGAAAACAGAAATGCTCATAAGCCGTGACCTGGAAAGAAAAGAAAATTCTTGGCCACGAAAATTCTTTTCTGTAGCAACATGAGGTGAAACTGAAGACTTGGAAAATTTTGAAATCAATGGTGGCGCCATCGTATTGCAAAATGTACAAAATTTCCGATTTTCTAAAGAAAATTTGTTCATAATTAGACCCATGTATGGCCTGCATTACACCGTGATTTAGCGCCATCTAGTGCTCATAATGCTGTATTTTTCCTAAAGTACCTCAGTCAGACAAAATACTGCACTATGGCCACTAGATGGAGCTGACGATCTTGGAAAATCATTGTATTCAGCAAGGATTTGTCAGAGATCAGTGAATTCTTGTCACCTTCATCCAATTTTTTTTAAAATAAATAGACCACTAGGTGTTGCCAGGGGCGCACTGACCATTTTGGAAACTCGGGCACTGCCCGAGGGCCTGGGGTCAGTAGGGGGCCCCATGAGATGCCCCTGGCACCTTTTGCATAGGCTTTTTTGAGTTTGGGAAAGGACACAGGGGCCCCATGATCCTCTATTGCTTGGGGGGCCGCATGAGTTGTCAGTCCGCCCCTGGGTGTTGCCCATTCTTTCCAATGAGATTCAACCTGTCATCCTACCCTGGCTGCTCGGAGAGTGAAGGCAGGTACCTGATTGGTTATAATGGGGCCATAGCACGAGCTAAAGAATTTTGTGCCAAATATTGGAAGAGGAACAAAACCTGTGACCCCGATCCTCAGAAAAAAAGCAAAGATCGGCCAATGACATTGGAGGAGTACCCAAACACAAATTCTATCCCTCCACCATATCAATAGCTATAGGGCCCGGGCACGCCATATTGGGCCCCTGGGTGCTCTGGGCATAGGAAACTGTTTCCCTTCTTCCAAAATTCCGTCTTCCATTACCTTGCTATGCCATTGGTTCAGCCACTTCCCATTTCAGGTTCTGCATTCCTCTGACCGTCCGCAGGTTAAGCATGTAGTCATGCGTTAATCTGCTTTATGTCCCGCCGCGGCGGCTCGTTTAATTAAATTGGCGCAGCGTGGTCCAGACGACGTACACAGGGCTCTCCAAGGAGGGGCTGCCGCATGACCGGAGCCGTGTTTATGGACGACACTCGTCAGTCCAACAATATGGTGCTGAGTGGGAGATAAAGCTGAACTCCGCACACAAATGTATTCATTATTACAGCGTTACCTTTATGTATTTTCAGTAAAAACAATGCAAGGACCTAAATGTGACCCGATATCAGCTTCTTACTGCCCCAGTACAGCAGAGCTCAGGCTGTACTGTCAGCAGGGCATGGGCAGGGGGTCAGTAATGCAGTGTACAGGGGTCAGTAATGCAGTGTATAGGGGACAGGGGGGGTCAGTAGGACAGTGTACAGGAGTCAGTAATGCAGTGTACAGGGGTCAGTAATGCAGTGTACA